CACTAGGCTACGGGAATATGCATTGAAATGGCAAATGCAGTTCACTATCAGTTAAGTGTAAAGTAATGTACAATAGGTCAAAAAATCCTGATTACATGTGCATGCTTATGGGATCAGAACTAGCAGTGACAGAGTAGATGATCTGGCTGATCTTGGCTGATAGTGGACAACTTGATGAAAATGTGGGCCCAGTGCACAGCTGCTGTTAGCAAACTCCAGGCTAGACACAATTAGGAATAGAACAAAAAATAAACCTACCAAGATACTACTGCCCTTGCACAAATACTTAGTGTGACCACACTGGGGTACAGTGTTAAATTCTGGTCACCTCACTTGAATAAGCACATTACTGAATTGGAAAAAATACAGAAAAGGGCAATGAGAAGGATCAGGGTGCTCCTCTCCCCTATGAGAAACAGCAGCAAAAACTGGGCATGCTCAGATTAGAAAAGAGGCCAATAAGAGGAGATAGGATAGAAGTCTTCAGAATTATTCACAGAGGGGAACATTTTTATGGAGACTTTTCTCTCCCTCTCCCCCAGTACTCAAGCCCAGGGTCATCCTATGAAGTTGACTGAAGAAGTGCATTGCACAGACAGGAAAAAGTACTTCTTCATGCGACACAAAGTGAAATTATGGAACATACCAGCATGGGAAGTAGTGACAAACCTAAAAGACTTTAAAAAGGGACTGGACAGGTTCATGGAAGTAGAGACTATGCGAAGACTATGGCTTTGTGCGGCTTCCTTCACCAGAGGTGGCACGCCTGCATGCAGCTGATGTGGAGTCCAGGCTATTGAAGATCTTGCACCCATCCTGCTTGAGTGACCCCGTGAGCAGCTGGTTGCCACCGTGGGCACAGAATGATGGACTGGGTGGACCTCTGGACTGGTCTAGCACAGCTTTTCTGTGTTGGTGCATATCTTTTCTCTGAGATAATAAAATTCTGTCATATGAAAAGCATGTGGGTTGCATGAACAGAGCTTAAAAATTACAGGAATGCAGAAAGCTGTCCTAGTGTTGAGTCAGACCCTCAGTCTATTTCAACCAGTCCTGCCAACATTTTTTTTTATGTTTTCAGGCAGGAATATTTTTCAGCCCTACCTGGATATTTTTTTTTAAATCCAATTCAAAATGTTTAGAGCTGATTTTATGCACCCTGGCTTCAGTATGTTTACATGTTATTAGTTTATTTGACTGACAATTGAATGGGCACAACTTTGTTGCAGATGAGTGCTTTTAAATTCCAATGATTTGACTAGAGTGGTAAACACATACTTAAATGATCGGGCTATAATATTTTTAACTTTCTATTATATTAAGATTTTTGTTTGTGGCCTTTAAAAAAAGGAGGACCCAACAACAAAGACAGCTTATACATCACAGTCACCCCAGTTCTTCCTCCACACACTCAATAAAGTCCTGGGACTCAGTGAAGGATGGCATAGAAAAGCTTTCAATCAATCAATCAATCAATGGGAGGGGGAAATTGAAAGACCATATACTCCAGTAACAGAATGCTTTAGAATATGGGGCAGCATAATTTACATGGGCCTTTTCCTCCTCCTTGGTTATGTAAATCACTTTTATGTAAACATCAATTTACCCTGTTCACTATCAAATGCCACTCTTACTGAAACATGCAGCTACTGGCTTTAAAGACAGCCACTACAACAGGAAACTAATTACAAAGGCAGCCCTTTGGAAATATTACACAAGTTCATAAGCTTGTGCATAGCTGTATTCCCTGCAATATTGCCAAGGGCCAACTCTGGATAGAGGAAACAAGGCACAAACACTTAATAAAGCAGCATTACTCCTTGTTTGACCTTATTTCAAACTCTTGCTCCACCAAACATACACCAGAGACCTCTCCAGATGAACAGCTTTTCCCCCAACACTAATCTCTGTTAAAAGTCTCTCTTCCTACTAATCACACAGCTGTCTTTCAACATACATACTGGGTCCAAGTCCCAACTCTTCAGTTGGAAGTTTTCCATTCCAAAAAAGAGAATATTGGCATGGGAGCACACACATACACTCATGAAATAAGCATAAAATAAACCTAGGAAGCAACTGCAGAGGCGGGCTGTCATGGACAGGACATTTCAGAGGGTATTCATAGGATCTGTGTAAGCTGGAGACGACTGGAGAGCACATAACAACATCATGCATGTAGATTTCCTTCTGTCAGGCCCATGAGACCACTGCTCTTGGAAAGCACCTTCCAAACGCCTCATGTTCCTATGAACAGAAATAATGAAAATCCTTCCAATGCAGCGTCAAGGAGAGTGGTGATACCCCCAGCCTACAGACTCATCTCTCTCTCAGTTTGAACACTACTTTTTTCAAGTGTTCAAAAACTGCAAGCTCACAATGGCAAACTGGGCTATGCTAAGATGCCTTGGTGGAATCTCTAGTTTAGAATCATTGCAAGATGAACTGAGCATGTTTTCACATCTAAACATCAGGCTGCATGAGCAGGGACTGTGAGCTGCAGACCCATACATTACAAAAGAATGATCTATTTTAACCAAAGTTTACAGTAAGGAAAGTTCCACCATATGACTACTCAAGGCCAGAGACAACCAAATGTGCAACAGCAGAAAGGCTTTGTAACTTTAGTATTAGTGCAAAGTGAGTCATGGCATAGTTATCCACCATGGATTAATTGACTCTACAGCAAAGCCAATTCCTCTGTTAAAATACAAAGGCTTAAGTTGTCAGTATAGCACTGAGCAGAGGCCATCAACAATTAATTCACAGCTGCAGGTGACACACAGGCCTTGAACATCAATGAGCCAGTCATCACTGATGAAAGAAGCAATGCCAAGGGAAACCACTGGGGAGAAAGGTGGCATTTGGTTAGTGGCTTTTTGAGAACAGCATAAAGAAATCTCTCTATTGTTCTAAGGCCCAATAGCAATAAAACTCCCAACAGGACTGATTACCTTGTTAGTAACTGCAGGGAGGCCTTCCAAGTTTGAGGCAGCCAAGACTAGAAGATTCACAGAATCTGACCCTCTCCTTTGTGGCATTTCATCACCAAATGAATATGGTTGTGTTTTGGTTGGACTGAAGTTTGAATTCATCTGCCTTTCTGTTATTTTTTTTATTTTATTCCACAGTTTTATCTGCTCCTCCTCTGTTTGCTTCACTGTTTTATGGGTATGTTTCCAATATGATATGTTAGCTGACTTGGGTGGTTCAATTCTAAATAACAGAAACAACTGAATTTGGCTTAGCAAAACAGGTTTCTATCCTTTGGTTCTTGGCTCCTCTAATACCACATACTCAAAACTCCAGGGCTTTTATTTTGGATGCTTCAGGGGTACAGAACATCCTTCAATGCAATGGTGAAATTCCACTTCAGAAATTATTGCAAGGGCTGGATTCCAGTGATGGGCAAGGTTAAATGGAAAAAGAACAGGGCCGAAGGCAAAGGGGACATTAGGAAAATGCCAGCATATTTTAGCTTAAGGCTACTACTGCCAGTTACTAAGTCTCAGAAGTGGCATTCCAACCTTTTTAGAATGACAGGGGTGGAGGAATATCTTGCAAAATCTGGGAAAGGGATGATACCAAACGAGGTGGGCATGACCATGCAGGGATCCTTGAAGTATCAGATAGGACATGAGGCACTGTGAGCCTGGATTAATTAATGACAACAGCCCAAACATGGTATTCCAATAGACAAGACCAAAGATGGTATACCAAACAAAAGCACCCCAACACCACATACCAGACAAAAAGGCACAGTGCTACACCCCACCCCACAAGTACTCGTCAATTTATTAAGGAAAACAGGGTGTTCTTTGACTACTTTTGGACAAATACAACAGGGTGGTTGCATAGGCATTTCTGAGACTGCCAAGCAGAATCCAAGTAGGCTGCACCCACCTTCATTCTCTTCAAACCATTCCGACAGCATCTCCTGCATTCAAAGATCCCACAATGTGCCTTTCAAGAGGCATAAAAGAGACCAGTGGCAGCCATTCTCAGTCCTTTTAAATAAAGCACCTTTTCCTACTGGGAAGTGGGACTAGAATAATACAATACCAGTATTGGAAGGGGCTGAAAAGAGCTTTGAGTCTAACCTCTTGCTCAGCGCATGATTCCAAATTAAAGCATCCTAACAGATGGTTGTCCAGCTGCATCTTGAATGCCTCCAGCATGGAAGAGCCCACATCCTCCCCAGGTAACCAGTTCAATTGTAATATTGCTCTAACAGTCAGGAAGCTGTTGCTGATGTTCAGCTAGAACTGGCTTCCTGTAACTTGAACCCATTATTCCATGTCCTGTACTCTGGAATGATCAAAGAGAGATTGTAGCCCAAGGACTAGATTCCCTGGCAGAAAAGATGGACAGAGTTTCTGATCAGGAAGGTGGAAAGCTGCCTTTGACTGAGTCAGGTCACAACCTGATACTGTCATCACTGACTAGCAGTGGATCTTCAAAGTTCCAGGCAGGTATTTTTTTAGCTCTGCCTGGAGAGGAATGGGATGAAAACAGGGACTCTCTGAATACAAAGCAGATGCTCTACCATGGAGATATGGCCCCTCCCTGGAGGTCTGAAACTGGGAGGATCCCAGTTCCTGGCAGGAAATGATCAGGGACTTGAAGGACCTGCCGCTTTTGCATCCTCCTGCCTCAAGTGGAGATCCTGGTCCTTGGGGTGGGGTGGATGGCTGCCCAAAGGCTGCCCAGTTTTTACCTGCTCATCTGAATGCTCAAAATGTCTCAAGCCCTTTCTACTACCAGTGTGAGGGCAATCATTCAGCTCTAGCACCGAGTAGCAACTGATCCTCTGGTTACTGCGTTTTCCATTACATGTTTAACTTTGATGGTTCTATTATATAGTGATTAAGAATAATCTTTCTAATCTTTATTACAGAAGGCCCTCAGTAGAGCATCAGCATCAGCTCCACCAACAAAGAAAAAATTCCATCCTTATCACTAGATTAAAGCAAACCCAAAGCAAGCACAGTGATGTCACCAACCTCCATTGGTTCAGTGTGTATTTTCAATTTGGGCAGATTGATCTTGACATTTGCTTTTTGATCTGTTACTTTCCCATAGGATGATTCATGGAACTCCTCAGGAGGTGGCTTGAGTTCTGGTGACTCATCTGGTGCCTGATCTTGACCATCCATTGGCCTGACATAGGCAGTCGGCTTCTGTATTGCACTAGGTTTGGAAGGTAAGGATGAGGGAAATGCCTGAGTGGAAGTGTGGCCAGGGACAGCTCCTGCAGCATTCAGGCTGTCCTGAGTTTCATTATCACATGTTCCAGCTGCCAGCTCCCGAGACGGGGAGCTTTTCTGTCTGTGGTTTTTGTTGTTGCTGCCACTGCGAGACCTGGAATTGACATGCTGGCTGGAATGTAAAGGTGACAGAGGTGCTATGGGGGAAGACAATGTGGTAAGTAAGGGAGAAAGTTCCAGAAGGGAGGCTTGCACCTCGTGTGCAATGTCTTCTTCAATGCATCTTTCATTCTTCTGCTGCCGCCTGCTACTCTGGACTTCTAGATTCTTGCAGCTCTGCTCTTGGCTTTGCCTCTGGCTGCTGCATGATCCACTGCTTTGAAAGGATGGTTCCATGCGCAAGTGAGCTTTTTGGTAGTGCAGAGAGTGGCCTGCAGAGGGAGCCCCCAAAGTGAGGGGTCCCGTGGACTTATTGGGATGGCTACTGTTCTGGAATGGGGAGGGTAAAATGCTGCCAGTCTTTTCGGGATAGAGTGGGCGGTCCGGCTTGCGCTGAGGGATCAGAGACATGACGCTGTTAGGGATCCCAATGAAATTCTGCTGGGACTTGGTGGTGATGAGCTCCTTCATCTCTTCATAATTGCCAAACATTCTCTGAATTCGACTGGACAATTCATCTGCTTTGTTAATCTGAAATGAAGGGGGAAAGCACACCAAAGAATGGAAGAGATGAAAGCACTGACTCAGAAGAAGTTCTGGAAGAAATGACATGCAGCAGAATTAGTGAATATCAGAACTGCTGGTCCAACTGGCTAATGCAGGTTGTCCATACCTACTTCCCACAACCACTAATTGTTTGGTAGCTGGTTGGCTTTTGTGCAACGTCTCCCTATTCTAAAAGGTTGAAATAACTTTAAACTAAAATATGCTGGTATCTTTTTCTGCTCCCCACCCAACCTTCAGCTCCAACCCATTGCTGGAATGTGACCTTGAAAATTTCTTGAGCCAAAGAGGTTCTGCACCCCTGGACTAACTGATCCCACCAGTCAGTCAACCATTCAAGTAATTCAGAAAGTTGCCCATTTCAATGGCAGCAGTATTTGCCTGTAAGCACTTTTGTAGCTTACTTTTGTACAAACTGTAAGCACTTTGCAATACAGAGCTCCACCTTTTTTGATTCATTTTCCATTTCAGACTTGGAAATAGTTTGCTGCTCAGAAAGTTGAGAAAACCAAATATTTAAGATGGGTAAATATTTTAAAAACCAAGAACCAAATGTCTCTGTGTTTCAGAATTAAATCATTACTTTTGCACCCATTGATAAGAATAATGAAAATCAGGATGGCTTATAAAGTTACTTCACAGCAAGTCAAACTATTAGTCCAGCTGGCCCAACATGGTCTGGCAGCCATGTCTCAAGCAAATGTGTTTCTAAGTCCCGCTGTAGCAAGTATTTTATATCAGAAAAGCCACAGATTGTCCTTGAGACCTTCTTTATCGTCTACCATGGCACTACGGGGCTGTTGCAGGATTTCTTCTTGCTCACCAATTACTAATTACTAACTAATATCTGCGTAAGAAAATGATGCTAGTTGCTTCTAAAGGGAAGCAGTAGAGAAGCCTTCTCCAACCAGATGCCTTCCATCTGTTTAGGACAGATCATGCCAGTCACAAACAGCATGGCAAACCATCAGTTACAGTGGAAACTGTCCCCCAGATGCTTTGGGCTATGTCTGGCTGGGGATGGCTGCCAATACGGGGAAAGCTACTGTAGGACTCTTGAATGGGCCAGAACTCCACTGACTGCCACATGTGCTGACTTGGCAAGGGTAGAAGATTTGCCTCCAAGCTTTAGGTGGCTACTCTGGTTAGGGCTATGGGAGTTCTAGGTCAAACATCTGGAAGGCCACAACTTTCTCCTAGTCTAGGTGGAACATGCAAAGCAAGTATGGAGTCAATCTATATATACTTCAGCCTTCTGCCCTCCAGATATATTTGACCACAATACCCTTAATTCCCTGCTATCATGGAAAGTTGCTTTGATGGAACTTCTTGCTATTTTATCTATGTTCCACCTGTAATTCAATGGAATATGCTATAAATACCTTGTAAGGTTCTCCAAAGAGAGGAATATCTGCAGTAAAAGTTTCTCTCTCCTGGTGTGCTTCTTGGTTCCTCCTCTCTTTTGCTTGGATGCGGAGCAAATTCCTCTCTTCATTATACAAGCTGTTGGGAGAACAAGAGATGGGAAAATTACTCACTAGTATTTCACTGCTTGGTGACAGTTCTGTCTCCAACGTTTTAGCTCTGAAAAACATTGAGAATGGCAAAAGAAGTTGGGTAACTAAATAAGCAGGGTTTGCACAGACTAGTTAACCACCCACCACAGTGGGGCAGCAATCCTAGAAGAGAATGAGGAGTTCAATTATGTAGCTGGCATGCACAGGGTGGCTGACAAGCTTAGTAACCACCCATGTGCTGCATGAACCAGATCAATGCATAGAAATATGCCAGGAATCAGTGGAAACACAAGTGAGATACTTGCACATAAAAAAGGAAATCCTTTAGCAAGAAAAGTATTTTCCACGATCTGCATGTAATTATTAATATAACCATTATGTAGAGTTCATACATATTAACGATTAGATATGTTGAACACGTATTAATCATTGCTGGTATGTTTCCGTCAGTTTAATAAGCACTGAGGTATCAGTCTACATACCCAAGTCAGCATGGTTTTTATTTGCCTGTTTTGCAACCTGCAGGCAACTGAGCCAGTAGATGGAGTACAATGTTTGTTTTCCTTCACTACTTTCTTAATGAAAATAAAGTCCCTGCTAAAGACGAACAGCTTACCAGAGAAATTCATCCTATAGTCAGTCTGCATAATTTGTTTGTTTTGTCTAGCACAACAGTAATACCTCAGTTCTTGTCTCCTACAAATCCTACAGATTCCCATATCTGCCTTCCAGACCTATGTCTGCTGCCATGAGGACAAGGAACTGGAACAATTTACTTCTTGATCTAACTGCTTTGTAAAGTGGACCAACTGGCACAATTCCATCTGATGGATATGTTGATGGATATTTTCCCCTCTAATTCTAACCAGGGAGATTCCAGAGTTATGAACTAGTTATCTGCCTGTGGAGAAGTAATAACCAGATGAGTTGACCTGATACTGCAGGCAGGCAGCCTGCTTTCCTCTTTGACACAAGTTGTTGTTGTTTAGCAAAGTCGCATCCAACCCATTGCTACCCCATGGACAACATTCCTCCATGCTCTCCTGTCCTCCACCATCCCCCGGAGTCCACTTAAGCTCACACTGACTGCTTCTGTGTCTCCATCTAGCCACCTCATCCTCTGCCGCCCCCTTCTTCTTTTGCCATCTATTGTTCCCAGCATCAGGCTCTTCTCCAGGGAGTCCTTCCTTCTCATTAGGTGGCCAAAGTATTTGAGTTTCATCTTCACTATCTGGTCTTCCAAGGAGCAGTCAGGGTTGCTCTCCTCTAGGACTGACCGGTTTGATCACCTTGCTGTCCAAGGGACTTGCAGGAGTCTCCTCCAGCACTACAATTCAAAGGCCTCAATTCTTCGGCGCTCAGCCTTCCTTATGGTCCAACTTTCACAGCCATACATTGCCACTGGGAAAACCATAGCCTTGACTATATGCACTTTTGTTGGCAGGGTGATGTCTCTGCTTTTTAGTATGCTGTCTAGATTTGCCATAGCTTTCCTCCCCAGGAGCAAGCGTCTTTTAATTTCTTGGCTGCAGTTCCCATCTGCGGTGATCTTGGAGCCCAGGAAAATGAAATCTGTCACTACCTCCATTTCTTCCCCATCTATTTGCCAGGAAGTGAGAGGACCGGATACCATGATCTTCGTTTACTTACTGTTGAGTTTCAAGTCAACTTTTGCGCTCTCCTCCTTCACCCACATCAAGATGCTCTTTAGTTCCTCTTCACTTTCTGCCATTAGAGTGGTACCATCTGCATATCTGAGGTTGTTGATATTTCTCCCGGCAATCTTAATTCCAACTGGTGATTCATCTAGTCCCGCCTTTCTCAGGATGTGCTCTGCATATAAGTTAAATAGGCAGGGAGACAGTATACAGCCTTGCCGAACTCCTTTCTCAGTTTTGAACAAATCAGTAGCTCTGTGTTCAGTTCTCACTGTTGCTTCTTGACCCACATATAGGTTTCTCAAGAGACAAATATGATGGTCAGGTACTCCCATCTCTTTAAGAACTTGCCACAATTTGTTGTGATCCACACAATCAAAGGCTTTAGCATAGTCAATGAAGCAGAAGTAGATGTTTTTCTGGAACTCTCTAGCTTTCTCCATGATCCAACGTATGTTGACAATTTGATCTCTAGTTCCTCTGCTTCTTCAAAACCCTGTCTGTACTTCTGGTAGTTCTCGGCCCACACACTGCTGAAGCCTAGCTTGTAGGATTTTGAGCATAACTTTGCTAGCATGTGAAATGAGTGCAATGGTGTGGTAGTTCGAACATTCTTTGGCAATTGCCCTTCTTTGGAATTGGAATGTAAACTGACCTTTTCCAATCCTTTGACCACTGTTGAGTTTTCCAAATTTGCTGGCATATTGAGTGTAGCACTTTACCGCATTGTCTTTTAGGATTTTGAATAGCTGGAATACTGTCTCCTCCACTAGCTTTGTTGTTGCCCAGACTTCCTAAGGCTCACTTGACTTCACATTCCAGGATGCCTGGCTCAAGGTCAGCAACCACCCCATCGTGGTTATCAGGGAGGTTATCAGGGACGTTAAGATCTTTCTTAACATTCTGTGTAATCTTGTCACCTCTTCTTAATATTTCTGCCTCTGATAGGTCCCTGCCATTTCGGTCCTTTATCATGCCCATCTTTGCATAAAACATTCCCTTCAGATCTACAATTTGCTTGAATAGATCTCTGGTCCTCCCTATTCTATTGTTTTCTTCTATTTCTTTACACTGTTCATTTAAGAAGGCCTTATCTCTTCTAGCTATTCTCTGAGATTTTGCATTCATTTGGATATATCTTTCCCTTGCCTTTTGTTTCCCTTCTTTCCTCAGCTACTTGTAAAACTTCCTCAGACAGCCATTTTGCTTTCTTGCATTTCTTTTTCTTTGGGATGGTTTTAGTTGCTACCTCTTGTAAAATGTTGTGAACCTCCGTCCATAGTTCTTCAGGCACTCTATCAGATCTAATTCCTTAAATCTATTTGTTACCTCTACTGTATATTCATCAGGAATATGATTTAGGTCATACCTGAATGGCCCAGTGCTTTTCCCTACTCTCTCTCTAAATTTTGCAACCAGAAGCTCATGATCTGAGCCACAGTCAGCTCCTGGTCTAGTTTTTACTGACTGCATGGAGCTTCTCCATCTTTGACTGCAGAGCACATAGTCTATCTGATTTCTGTGTTGACCATCTGGTGATGTCCATGTGTAGAGTCGTCTCCTGGGTTGTTGGAAAAGAGTGTTTGACACAAGTAGGTAAACATAGATAGATGGGCCTTAGCAGTAAGGCAGATGAAAAGAAAAGCCTCCCTTGAGAAAATGAGAAACTCACTCGCAGCCTCTTCAAATTCAAATGAAAAAAGATCTTTATTAAAGAAATGTGAGAGACAAAATGCAGAATGGTTATGGGGGGGGGGGTACAACAACAGCAAGCCAAATAGCTTGCTAACCTATGCTGAACTTACTGAGTTAAAACACTCAAAATGCAGTCACCTGCAATGCCCATACAATCTGGAGGAAATGACTAAAGGAACAAAACGGGAGGGGATATCTATTTTTATTTTGTTTGGCTGTGGGAGATGGGAGGGCAACTGTCTGAGACCAATCAGGGAAGTGGATGGTAGGCAGGAAGACACTCTTAACACCTTTTGAGGCTAGGAGATAGACCAGAGAAAACCCTTTTATCACCTTTTGAACTAGGAGCTGGGCTATCAAAGTGTTAATTTGAAAGGAGATGGCTTTGGCAGACTGGATTCATTCAAGGGCTTCCTATTTTGTGGACCAGGAACCCTGGGGGAAATAGTATGTTATTCCAAGCAGGTGATGGACACCAGCATCCTGGTCAAAGGTAATTGCAGCATCAGAGAAGACGACAGAGGAGGACAGCTCCACTGAGAATTTAAAAACAACAGGATAGCCATAATACTGAATTGCATAACTCTTCAGCCCTCATGCAAGGTATATGGAGTTCTGCTAAAACATTGTATCCAAAACATCACCTCAAAGTGCCACTCCAAATTCTTTAGAGAACTCAAAAGGAAGAGGATTCTACAGTTTCCCCAAGCAGGATGAAGTTGTCTCCACTGTCATTTCAGCCCATCTACTTCTCCTGTAGACACTACATCTCAGGTCAAGTTTCAACAAGAGTTCAGAGTTGTAAAGGAGGCGTATTTAAGTGGTTCTGTAAGAGTCTCTAACATACTTCCTCAAAACTACCAGCATTGCTATCAATAAAGGACAAGTATCTTTCCTTTTGTGCCTTTGGCATACATATCTAGTAATATTTCCATACGACTGTTTCTAATTAAACCATTTATTACTTCTTGAAAAGACTGCACTCCCACAAAGTAGGAATAGATAAGTTATGGCCTTCCGCCTGCAAACACTCAGCAACTGATGCTAGTCCTTCCTAAGCAGTTCCTGTGCTGTCCTTGGCAATGCTGGGGTATCCCTGTCTTCTTATTTTGTCAGAAATGGGGCAGGGAGGCCCTTGGGACAGAATACCCATTCCACCCAAACAAAACAAAAGGAACGAGGGAATCATGCTGCATAATTCCCTCCTGTAGTGATCTCTGTCTGCAAGGAGAAGTAGGCCATGACGGTAAAAAATCTTTTTCCATTTCATAAGTTCAATAACGAGAATGAATATATGCCAGTTGTGAAGACTCTATTAGGCAAGCATTACAGTTTCAAAGTTGCAATTAATGTTTTTCAAGCAATTACTCAAGTGGTTATGTGAAAGAATACATATAAGACATTGACATGTATATTTGTTCCTGTGTGAAATTGATCTAACGAATAGTGACAGAGAAACTGAAGGTACCTCAACAATTGTGCCCTAAAACAATTGAAGAGTTGAACTCTGTTAAAACTGATGAGTAGTTGTCAGCATTTCATACACTTTTCTTCAGTTTCTAAAACTAATTAGGCTCTGTTAATTTCAGTGCCTTCGGTTATTTTCACTTTCAATTTAAACAATGGGTGGAAA